ACAATATTTATGGGTTTTCAAATTAATGTATACACATAACACCACATATCTATGGACCTAACAATGCCTTTTACATTTATGAAATACCTTTCGATGAGCATTTTATTAAAGGTTGGCATCACAGGTTCTAGATTAGGAACAGCTATAAATGAACTTTGGTCCACAACTTGATTATTGTAGGACCCCTTCTAGCTAGCCTCTTCTATCACCTTTTAATTGTTGCCACCAATGTCAATTTGCACTTCCTCTTCTAACAGCAGAGGTATTATATGATATAGTCTACGTAGTAATACCATCTAACGAATTGATACATATTAAATCGCAAATTTTATGCTATAATTACATATTTATTAGTATTAAATAAGTAGACACAACTCAAATCACAAAACATACTTGCTAAAACTAAGGTCATATAGGATGTTGAGGCTCCATTTTCAAAAGGGAGATTATCTTTTATCGGCTACAAGTTTCCAACTTTCTATGGGACCTATTGCATCCATAAATTTCAATCCATATAGAACTTAGCCGCAATGAAAATAAGTTAGGTAGTGAATTTCCATGTTTAGAGAGTTCAAAATAAGCAAGACAATGTCTATGCCTTGTTATTTAGCCCAAAATGACGAGGCAATGCACATGGGAAATCAATGGGAACAATGAATTTTCCTCCATTAGCAGTAAAGGTATGTGACATGGAATTTCTACCCACAATTGGAACCTCTGTATTCTCATTATGTCATTCTCAACCACTATTTTCTCCGAAATATTATAGTCGTATAGGTACATGCTTGGAAGTTTATTATTCTTAATTTTTCCTTTTAAACATTGCTTTTAGTGCTCTTTAAATTGTGTGAAAGTTAGAAATCATGTACTCAAATCATAATTTAGAGAACTTAATCTTGAATTTTGTAGTAATTTTAGAATTTTAATCATTATAAGAAGAACAAATTTAATGGCATGTGGAAAGTGAGAGCATGAAGACTATCAATATGTTGCATTTATCAAATTAGGCAATGTATATTGAAGTACTTATTTATTATTATACCACTCTGAAATATTTTTAGTACTATTGATTTTTTTTTTTTAATGCTTTCTTTAGTCCTTTTCAAAGAGGAATATCAGTTTCAATGGAGCTTGATTTTGTTTTGTATACTTTTCCGCTAGGCTCTATCATCTTCTTTCTTGAGTTTCAACAGATCCCTTTGTAATTAAAGTAAATTCCACTCTAGGGTTCTTAACTCACCGTATGAATTCGAAATAATCAAAAAAATGAGATTCTTAATTGAGAAAACAAACAAAACACTTTGAATTAACTGTCTTCTTTTATTTTTCTTAAGAAAAATGTATGATGCAGTTTGAATTGTATTAAATTGTATAATTTAAATCATTGAATGAGAAATAAATCCTTTGATATTGGGGAGTATCTCTTATCCAGTTATTTCTATTTTATAATCCAATATAGTTCACATTGCAAAAGAGGGACTCTTTTTCTAAACAAGTTAGTGCCTATTGTTTTGAACACTATTTTGTGAAACATGACCAAACACAAACTAACAATAAGTTCAACCACATAACTATTTCACTTTTGCCTAAACCGTAGCCGCCTCCCTTTTTTTTTTTTTTTCTCTCTCTCTCTCTTTCTCTCTCTCTCCCTCATACCCTCCCTCCTTTCTTGGTTATTCTTTTCCCTTAACCACCGCCTCTACCCCCTAGATGGTTAGCGAGGATGAATAAACATGAAATTATATCCTTCTATTTGAGGGTTTTCTCTCTCAAAGAGATTTTGTCATCTTTTTTTTGGGAATTTCTGCTTAAGTTTTCTTGATATATCTCATTGAGTTTTGTCCATGGAAGATAATAAGGATAGCTAAGATTTTTTTTTTTTTTTTGAACAGCGAAAATGATATTTATTATTAAGCGGAATACAAGGGGTACTCCAAACCCATAAAAACAAAAACATAAAAACATTATATACAGTGTCGACACCCAAGAGAAAGTGTCGACACTATGTCCGTAACGAGGAATCTGCCATCTTTTGCCTTTTCAACATATCCCCCTGTACAGATCAACAAACCCTCACACGCTATACCCCATCAGGCCCACGAGATATTGATCATGCATTGACTATGGCTGAATCTACTACAGTCAATAATTGCTCAATATAATCTTTGTGAACCCCACTATTCAGCAATTCATACCTCCAACTAGGTAATGTTCATGCAGCACATTAACCCATCAGTCTCAATTTCTTTTTCGTTCGTCCAGCATTGTGCCCTCTAAGGCATTCTGTTGGGTTCACCATCCAATCTGAAAGGCTGAATACGTACCTGTCATTTTTTGCTTTGAACCGTGTGAAAGATCTCAATTGAATTAATTCAAATAGCTTCCCCGCATTTATCTCTTTGTGCTGGAAAAGTTTCTGATTGCGAGCAAGCCACACAGTCCACACAACCGTACTCCATATGCAGTCCCATCCTTGTCTTGTTTTTTCCTCTTTGCTCCAATCTCCAAATTTATCAAATGTCTTTGAAATGTCGATGTCGAGTTTAGCCTCAGCCCCCCACCATTTGGCGCATGCCACCCACAGCCATCGAGTTAGCTTGCACCTTAAGAATAGATGTACTGAATCCTCTTCTTGTTCTTTACATATAACACACTTGCTCTCCTCCAAGTCTTTAATAATCCCTCTTTTCAACAAATTCACCTTGGTTGGAATTCTATCCAACAATAGTTGCCAGTTGAATGCTGATACTTTGGACGGGAGAATTGTGTTCCATGTTCTTTTGAAAATTGAAGATCCGTTATGTCCTCTTTGATCAGTTCGTAAAAGGTGGTATGCTGATTTTGATGAGTATTGCCCCTCCTTTTCGTGAATCCATTCCCACTTGTCAGGCCAGCCTTGAGTAATCTTAACGCCCTCTATCATTCTTTCTAGATCAGCGACCTCTTCAGCTTCCCATTCGAAAAGATTTCTCCTCCATGATAACTTCCATTCCCACGATCCACTCCTTAGGTTGCCCATTTGATTGCATGTTTTCTCCTTCCCTGTTGACAGACTATACAACCTAGGAAATTTGTTAGCAAGGCATCCCTCCCCTCCCCAATCATCCCACCAAAAACTTGTTGCAATTCCATCCCCAATTTTCATTCTAAAACCCTCCGACAGCCATCCTACATTCTCCTCATTCACTCTATCTAGACAGCACACATCTCTCCACCATAAGGAACCCCCTCCATTGTTCTCTTTAATCAAATCCATCCAATGCTTCCCACCCTTGCCATATTTCGCTGATATTATTTTCATCCATAGTCCTTCATCAACTCTTGCTAACCGTCCCCACCACTTCCCCAGCAACGCCAAATTAAACTTCCTCAAATCTCTCACTCCCAGCCCTCCCTCATCTTTTCTTTTACATACATCCCCCCAACTTACCCAATTTATTTTCCTCTCCTCTGCCCCCCCGCCCCATAAAAAACGTCTACGTATTTTATCGATTGAGAGGAGTGTACCTTTTAGGATAGCTAAGATTTGAAATTAGATGAGATCAATTTGATTGTAATACTTTCTTCAGTTATTAGCAATATTCTTAGGGATTACAGTCTTTGGCTAATCTTTTGCCTCAAAAATAGCAAGTAGTTATTGGCAAGGCATTGTAGTTTAGGAGATACAATGTCGCTATGCCTTATGCTCTTTTGCTCTCCTGTACTATGAATGGGTGGTAAGATTGGTGAGGTTTTCAAAAACAACAATAAAATTTAGCATAACCTGTTCATGATATCCATGGCCCTATTAATGCCCTTATAGTTTTTACAAATACCTTAAAACTTTCTGCATTTAATTGTCTACATGTGTCATAAGCAATAACTCTTTATATTAATTCTATAAGTATCTTTTTAAGATTTTTTTTTTATGTTAGTTGCACAATGGAATGCAACATTCTTCTATCCCTTATTCCACCACACCAGCATGTTATGCGACTCGAATTCAAAATCTTTTATTTACGGCGGAAGGAGATTACCATTGAGTATCTTTTTAACATTTTTCTTTTATGTTAGTTGCACAATGAAATGCAACCCTTTTCTATCCCTTATTCCATTACACCAATATGTTATGCGACTCGAATTCAAAATCTTTTATTTACAGCGGAAGGAGATTACCATTGAGTATCTTTTTAACATTTTTATATTCCTTTGTTTAGCATATATGGTGCTTATTAGGCCAACTATTTCAACAGATTTTTTTCAGCAGAAGTTGGGTAAAAAAGAAAAATACAGTTTTTTAAAATTATTTTTAAAATCTTCTTATAGTTTGGTCAACAAATTTTTTTTCTTTTTGTTTATCTTTTTACTGTTTTTAAGTTAAATAATGATAAATGAATTAAAATTTGGGATCAAAATTTAATATTGATGATGTAATATATATCACATTATTTAAAATATTAAAAAATAAAATTTATATTATTTAATAATTAATTTTTTTATTTTTTAAAAACTAATGATACTATATATTAATTAATTTAATGATATAATTTATACCACGTGATTAATTCTAAACTTTCATTCCAAATTTTGCCTCCTATCATTGCCCTTTCAGGTTATATATCACACAAAAGAAGGTATACATGTTACGTTACACAAATGATGGCAAGGTGAGGTTTCACGTCAAGAATATCTGTTGATGTTTGATAATAACTTTTACTTTATACCCATCGTTTCGGAGGTCATATGGTAAGACAGAGAATCCAATTTTCTCTTCTCTCTTTCTTTTTTTTTTAATAAACAGAGAATCCAATTTAAGAGCAAAGTTAGGGATATATGAAAGTTAATAATGTTTTTAAGAAATTACGGATCGAGAAGAGAGATTTTATTGTTACAAAACATATCTATTGAGGTTTTAAGTCATTGGTTTCATAGAGATTTTAATTTATTGGATTAGTTTAAATAGTTAAAAAAAGCATTCAATTAATATTAGAAGTGTGGATTAAAATTTTTTTAATATTATTTAAGTATAAATAATTTTAATAAATTAAACCCACTACATTAAAATGTGAAATTTTACCCAAAATACTTGTGGATGGGATGGAATTTAGTCGGGCCAAATGTTAAATACTCATGTTGTATATATATATATATATATATATAATTACTACACCCTTTTTATTTGGTAAATGGGAACATCTGGAAGCTTGTCGCCGCTGGATGGGCCATACTAGCAACACGAAGCCGGAGGGTTGGTGGTGTGTCTTGTTGGTGCAGTTTGCATCAGCACGTTGGGAGATCTCTTGGTGATGTCGGAGACTCAAAAGCCTTCTGATCCGAACATGTCTTTGGTCCCATGGGGCCAATGTAATTCTATTTCCTTTGTTTGGTTTCTTAAATGTTGTAACTTAATTGCTTTTATTCTCAAATATGTAATGATGAGTTAAGCGAAGTTATATCCTAGATTTAGCATTCATTTTAAGACTTAGAAACTATTTAATATAACGATCTAAAATTAGTTATTAATTATTTTTCTAATTTAATAGTTAAAAATTATTTTTTTAATAATTTTAATAATTTTATTAATTTTATTAAATAAAACTATTAATTACTAATTTCAAATTACTATATAAAATAGCTCCTTTGGTATTCTTTTGCGCTTCATTGCCTAATTAGCTAGGAGGGAAGTTAGCCTTTTCCTGTTAGAAAATATATAAGAAACAAGGGTCAATGTGTGGTGGTAGTCTGAGGTAAATGACCTTGAATGACCCCGAACCTCTAATCTCACTTTGGCAACTTTAAGCTCATCCCTTTAGCAGTCGAACTGCATCGGGTCGATCTCATCCCTTCTATCCTAGGTCTAACAGTAATTTCATACATGCATAGTTTTTATATGAGAGATTTTCGTGACAATTGACATATATAATCCTGGTTATTTACAAAAAAGAAAACATGTGAACATCCTTTGAAGGTTACAAATATCCTCAAAAGTCCTCTTCCAGAGGTAATTGGAACCAATCTTAGACCTTGTCTTTATTCTTTTCGAAGTAAACTTGATTATTGTTTATTCAGGTATTGGAGTGTTTACCTCGAATATCAATCTCAAGGCGTTGTAGGTTAACTAAAAAAAACATCTGAGCAAGAGGAGAATTTGGAGTTCATTACAGCTACACAATGGTTAGAGAAAGAGAAAGAAAGAATACGTTTTTTCTTGAGACATGCAAGAATTCATAGTCCTTAAGACTTTAAAAGCTTCCAAAAAGCCTCTAGCATATAGCAGAGCTTAAGAAATAAACTCTTCAAATACAAATGTTAAAGGCTGATTGAATCCATAAAACAATTCTGAACTTGTCTTTTTATGGAGACCAAACAGTTATGTATGAAAACATGGGCGTGGTTACTACTGCCATTCACACTATTAAAGTTACTAAAATTTAAATATTTTATAAAATAATATCTTAAAATATTAATTTATTAATTAATAA